AGTCAGCCGTGTGGGCCAGCGCAGGGCCCCCCCATGCATATTTCAATACTGTACTTTGGTTTAAATATTCTAAAAGGCATTAACCTATATTTAGGGCTATTCATAATTTTAGTCCCATCTTTTATATGAATGATCTTGAGACCGGCAATATGCCTATTAGATACCCAAGAGAGAGAGATGGATTCCAACAGTTATATTTTCAAAGTACAATAAATATTCAAGGTAAATGTTCTGACCCAAGCTTGTAGATTTTTAAGTTGGTTAGCTAGTTGAAAACTTTTTAAAAGAATTATTGCTTTAATTTTATTTATCATTATTATTTTCTTAATTTGCTGTAGGGTATGCACACTCACTAGAGAGAAAGAGAGAGAGAAGCAAACCGCCAGGTCCCTGGCTTGAACCGCAGTGGCCATGTGAGAGTCCAGCACCTTAATCACCACACCGCCTGCTGGCCCCTGCTGTTGAAATTTTAACATAAGTGCAGCATTAATGAATGGAGTATATATTATGCACTTCTACAAGAACACTTAGTACAGGATCCACTACCTCAGCTAACCCAGAAATGTCACAAGATGTCAAATCAAAAAAGTTCTTACAAGCTACCTCCACTGCTGCTCTGAACACTATCATATCATTTAAAGTATAGCTCTATTATGGAAAAACCCTCAGAAATCTGTCATTAATAATCTTACATGATCCCTTGGAAATGAAATAACAAGTGTTAGCTAAATTAAACAAGGCAAGAGGTCAGAAAAATGCAAAATAGGCAAAAACAAATACAAGGTAAGGAGATAAAATACAGTATAATACACTTACAGTAAAATATGAGCAGATGAAAAGTGATCATCCAGTCACCAAATAAGATTAGTATACCTTTACTATAAACAAAATACAAAATACTATGTGATTATCCATTCACTAAATAAAACATGCTAACTATACTTACATGCATAACTCAGAGACAGACACCAAGGAAGATTTAAATAATTTATTTGTTACATTCATGCTACCTGTTTTACAGATAAATGTGGCACACAGAAGTTAACAAACTTGCCCAAGATCACAGATAGCAAGCAAGGAGTCCAAATGCATGAATTATACTATATTGCCTCTGTAATACTGTTATCCCTGTCCTCTAGGAGTTTATGGTAATGAGGGATTTAGGGTAAAATAAGCTGCAAAACTACTAGTTTTACTACTAGTAGTAAACTACTGTTTAGGGCTGGCTCTAGCTTAGTGGTTATGGAATCTGGATCCCACATGGCCAACCAAGATTCAAATTCTGGCCTCAGCAGTTTGAAAAACACACCAGATGCTTGTGCATGTATGCCCCAAATCCCAACAGGATAAGAAAATGGAGGAGGGGGGATTGCAGCTAGACCACACTGGGTAGTTGTTTTCACCTCCTTTTTTCTCTGGTTAGTGCACAGACCATCTGACAATTAAGAAAATTTTAAAAAGCTACTACTTAGAAGTCAATAAGAACTTTAATAATTGGTCTAACCATAAATTAAAAGCAAAAATATCAAAAGCATTCTCAATATATAGTTCATTATTATTATAGGGTTCTTTTTGGTAATTTTTGCTATAGGGTGCACACACTTGCTAGAGAGAGAAAGAAAACACTCCCTTGGGAATGGCCACATCCTCCGTTCTCTTCTTGGGATTTTGAGCACACATGCATGCATGCACGCATGCACCCGTGCACATGTGTCTGGTGTTTTTCAAGCTGCCAAGTCTAAGACTCAAACTGCATAGCTGGCCCTGTGAGTACAGTTGCCTTAATCACCATGCCACCTTAATTTTTTTTTTTAATAAACTCAAAAATCTTTGA